GTATAAATTTCATTTCCCCTAGATATGGTGGATGCCTTGAAACCAGAATATGTGGCTCCTCTTGTCCTTTGGCTTTGTCATGAAAGGTGTCAAGAGAACAGTGGATTGTTTGAGGTAATATCCATGCATTGTCCTTTCCTGGCAATGGGCCTTGCACCCATCATGTTCTCCTTTTTTTGGCTTATTTTCAGAATTCAAATCCATGCAGTAACATGTTCTTGCACGATAGGGGAAGTTGAACATACATTTTGCCGTATATCATGTCTACTGAAAAACAGCAATGGATTTGCATGCAAATGTTCAATCAAAATGGTTCAAAACAATATTCATTTATTTATATATTTATTTATATTTATTTATATTTCAAATTTGTCACCACCCATCTCACTGTGGAAAAGATTCCAACACATTTTGAACCTTAGATTTCCTTGGGGTAATAATTGCTTTACAAAGAAAGAATTCAGTTGATGCCCTCACTCTACATGTTTTTATATTCTAATTCCATACTCCAAATAACATTACATTCAGAGCCAAAATGTCAAGAACCACAGGCAAGAGGGAGATATAAATAGACCTGTGATAACCTCACTTGCAAGAATATGAAAATCTTTAGAAAATAACCTTAAATAGGGGACAATAAGACAAACCATTGAGAATGAACACACTCAGAACCTATACAATGCTGACTGAGTGTTGAAAGGGAGAAACTGAAGAGACGGGACACAAAAATGAGAATAGTGCTCTAATGTAAGAAGCTAAGAGATTAAACTTGATAGTCTGCTTTGTTCTAAAGCTGGTCACTATTATTGGTTGATTTGAATTAAACCTAATCATAGTGGCTTTTGTAAGAATCAACTTTGTATGGAGGTAAAAAGTAAATGCATATTTTGACCTATTGGGACAAATATTTTGATCTGTTGTGATTGAATGGGAACTATTCATTTCCCCTTTATGATTTGCTGTCCACTCTTTTCATTTTCAGTTGTCCTTCTAAATTATATTGATTTTTAAAACTTTATGTTACAGGTTGGAGCTGGCTGGGTTGGAAAATGTAAGTCCTCTTGTTCATTTGGTCTGGTCGGAAAGAATTTGAATTTGACACAAAATCCAAACTAATATGTTAAATTAGGATATAACAACATTAAGTCATTTCGTTTTAAGAATGGTAGAATTTGAGAATAATTTGACTGACTCTCCATCTGAGCTTCCTTTACTTGCTCTCTTTTTTACTATATTAGGATTGGGATTTTGGTTGATTGGTTAGTTGGCTTACTGGTTAGTTGGCTTACTGGAGATTAATCCAGTAGATAGTTGGTAAATGTAATTACATTTGCTTCAAGCTGACTGCACCCTCAACTTTTTTTTTTATTCTGCTATTGTCCATTCATAGCATTCAAAATGGTGCTGGTGTCAGACACAAACAAAAACTTGTTGATAACAAATCAACAAAGCCTGCAGCATTTCTACTCCAGATTGGAATAAATATTCTGTTCAGGGTTCTCAAGAATACGTACAGTATGTTAGGTTCCACTTTTGCTCTCAGTAGGGAAAATAATCTATGCTTTGGTTTTGATCAGAAAATCTAGCATTTATAAAAGAAACTAGTTATCCAGCCACACCTGAAGGGCTATTTTTAATTATTGTTTAATATCCTCTCTTATTGCTACTTGCTTAGTACGCTGGGAGCGATCTCTGGGAGCCATTGTCAGGCAGAAGAACCATCTCGTGACACCAGAAGCTGTGGAACTTAATTGGGAAAAGATTTGTAATTTTGATAATGCCCAGAAACCTCAAAATATCCAAGGTATAAGCAACTTTAAATTCATTACATATTTTGTAATCTTGTTGAAATCTTCTTTCTTTGTGAGGACATGAAAGAACAATATCCTTGTTTGTACTTTAGTCTGCAACAAAGTAATCAGCTTGAAGATTATAGTATGTAAAAACAAAACTGCATAATGATTTATTTTAATTGCAGTGTTTAAATCCACATATACATATTGACATATGTACATATGTCCCCCATATAGCTTTAGAAAGTATACTTTTTCCCATAATATTTCATTTTTTTCAAAGTTTCTGATTTTTTTTAAAGTGGCAAATGTTATATATTTTGGTATAAGTAGATAAAGTCATATCAATTTGCATAAGATAAGTTGCTTCCATTTTCTTTCCTTAATGCTATTAATTCATAAATTACCTTTTCCATAAAGGCCAGAGTTTCATCCCAAAGCTTCAGTGTACTTTGATGTACTTCCAGGTCTGAGCTATAACTTGTTGCTATTAAGAAACAGATATTTAACATTTTGCTGCTTAATTTTTTGTTGCCTATATTAAATATATTTCAAAGTGTGTTTTGGCATTTGCTTGATAAATTGTTTGTTTTCAGTCCTATCTATAAAAACGTGATAAAAATGTATGTACAATATTACAAAACCACCATAAAAAGTCCCTTTTTCTGTACATGCTTGGCATGTACAGATGCCATGATAAAGAAGAAGATAAAGTTGTCAAATTCTCATATGTTTGGCATATGAGAATCTACATTCAGAATGTGGTACCATCTATGAAACATTTCTTATATTTTTGCTGCTAATTTTAATCCCCCAAAGTGAAAGCCAGATCTTTTCCTCAGTCTATCTTCACATACTGTCTTCAACCCATCTTCAAAGTCTAATAGCAATCTGTAATCTTTTGCAGTTGTATTCTTGGGTATTGTTAAATAAAAGTATATTTTTTGCTCAAAAGATATTAAAGGTCAAAGAGCTTGGGTTTTCACTTCAGGGTGTTGCAGAAAACAGTTAAATTATGTTCAGTGCAGTCAAACTAAATTATATCTTAACTGGGGACTATTGCGGTTTTTGATTTTGAGATAGCCTTTGTATAAATGTCTTTTACATTCCAATATCCAATTTGGGGGGTGGGGGTAGAGGGCAATTTTAAAGCAATTTAATTCTCTTCTTATAAAATAAGGTAGGAGTTATCATGGGGCTGAAATTTTTTATGGAATTGGGGAGTCCAGATTAATTAAAGGTAGAAATGACAGTGTTTCAAAATTTGATTTCTTTTTGTTATTACTATAATATTGTTATTAAACATTTTTTAAAAAGGGAAAAAATACAAACAAGGAAAAAAGCAGAAAAGAAAAACAAAACATGAAGTAAATAAAAAGGGAATGTACAAGTATCTTTACATTCCCTTACAATTAAGTAAGATTAAATATATTAGTTCAAAATTTCATTACTTTGACATAACTGAATATCTTATGTCATTATAAAATCTGCAGATCATTGTTAAAATTCAGTTGGTGCATAAATATCAATGGCAGTATTCAGCACAGTATAAATCATGAAAATAAAAAATTATAATAATTTCTATCTGAAGAATGAAAGATCTGTCTTTATTAACAGTGTAAAGGGAGAACCATGTTAGTTTATGGTAGCCAAAATCAAAAGGAGTTTGGTAGCATCTTTTCTGACTAATAAATGTTATTAAAAGGCGTAAGCTTTTGTGAGCTGTAACTCACTTCATCAGATAACTGAAAATTACGATATTAAGATTTTATGTTAAGAGAAACCCACGTTTTGGAAGTGTAATCCATAAATGGTTTCCAAATTGAATTAAATTCTAGGTCAGATTACTTTTCAAATGCAAAGTTATTTTGGACATTGAGGCATATTCTCACAACCTGTTTAAGCATTCTTCTGCAGAAGGAACTACACATACTTTCAGTAAGAAGTGTAAAATATCCTTGCTGCAATTGCCATGTACAAAGCTAGTTTGTTACACCTTGTGGGAATGTAAGATTTAGTAGTATTTAATTTAAAATATAGCAGGTTTGAAAGGAAATTCAGCTTTTAAAATTGGAGAGCTGCATATAACCCACAAATTTCACATCGTTCTGTATGCAAATATATTACAAAAGGGAAGAATATTCTCTGTCACAGGAGTTTACTAGTTTATATAGTGGGGTATAAAGCAAACTTTTTAAGTTTGTTTCCTGAAGAACAACAGTAGTCTAGGGAGACTCTTGGGAGTTACGCTGTATTGATACTAAATAAATTGTTGGCAACAAACTAATCAGATGGCTCCATGTGTAAATGTTATTTTAAATATTTATTAGTTCATGCAGACTGACATATATTTTACTGCATATAATTCCAACAGCAGATAAATAAAATGATAGCAGGCATATAAATTATTCAAAAGGACCACCCACCCGCCTTTTTTCAAACTTGCAGCCAGTAACAAATGAGGGCTAGAAAATTGCTGATAGATCATTGATTGTCAAATCAGTAATCCTACCTTTGTCATTATGTAGCAGTGAAAATCATTTTTATTATAGCTGGAATTGGCCATAAAGAGACTTCTAATTGATTAAATTAAAAAAAAAAACACCCTTATTTTAGGACTGATCATTTGGCATTTATCATGTTCCTAACTGTGGATTGAATCCTGGAAATCAGGTGCAAGTTTTGATTCTAGGACAATTTTGACAAATAAGGCTGGCACACACACATTAATTTTTGGGAAAATGAGATGAGTAAGGCATACTGAGATGCAAAGGTGGTGGTACTTTCTTTTATCTCCATATCTTATTTTCAAATAAACAGTTTGGGTGATGATAACAAAATATAATTTCTTTCTAAATAGTTGTTCAGGAATGTAACACATGCTTTGCATGCAATGGGTCCCCTTGGTAAGTCCAAGAATTGGATCTGAATTTCCCCCAAATCCTTAAAAAGCTGTTGTCAGCGTGGACAGTATTGGATTACATTTATGAATGATCTGAGTTAATGTAAGGTTGCTGCCTACGTTTGTAAGCACTGATTACGCAAAGCAGAAAAGGGCATTCTCAGGCACTCTTTTCCCATCTTCTTGTCCTTTCTAGCAAATCCAGGTTGGTCCCAGATAGAACAATCTGACACAGACGATTGCTACCTAGGTATGATAAATAAGTATCTTAAATAAGATTAGGGGCAGATCGTCATGGAGAAAATCTATGTGATTGCCAAGAGTTGACACCGACTTGATGGCATATAATCAGTTTTAAGATTTTGGTAAGTCATGATATCTGATACAAAAATTATTAGCTCTGCTTTGCATTATTCTTTCTGATTTTAACATGTCAATAAGAATATAGCTTATTATGTATAGTGTATCTTTTAGCTTTCTACTAAATCAGGCATTCAGCATAGTTCTTTAATGAGAGTACAACTTCTGAATCTGTGAGAATAAGCAAAAGAGGCAGGAAAAATGCTGCACATATCTGACAGACTATTTAGTTTTTCTGTGTTATAGCACTAGAAAATTAGACAATTAAAAAAAAAAAACCTTTCTCCTTTAATGCCTGAAGGCACTGAACTGTTAAGTAAGGAAAACTAATTAGAGTATTCACATTAAAATTGAAAGCCATATTCCTTTATATCTACAAATTCAAGCTGTTCTAGAAGATTTCATTAAAAACTATTACCAGCATTAATGTAAGTAAATTAATGTTGTGAAAAGCTATTATATACTAAACCATCATATATATTCATACAAAAATACCAATTAGTGTAAGCATTTGCCTATCATTTGTAAGGATTACCTAGAGTTAGAACTATTTATTTATTTATTGGCTCAAAGTGGTATGTAGATATTTAGAGTTTGAGTGCTGTATCATTTCAAAAATGAGTTCTTCTTTGTAATGAACTTATTGAAATGAACTTAAGCCTTAATAATGAAATGACATTTTGTGTGTTTTCTTGCAAGATAAGTATAGCAACTTTGTCCCAAAAATACTATTAAGTAAGTGAATAGTTAATGTTGTAATAAGTTATCGTAACATTCCATTTGGATACATGCTTACTTAGAAGCCTGTGGTATCTTAAGACTAGCCAATTACAATGCATTGTCTTGTGCTTGGGAATGAAATATTCTCTTAACTCTGAAGTTCATTTGATGGACGCTGTCAAGCTGCTGTCTCTCAACTATATATTGTATTTAGGTAGAAGGTCATGCTGAACTTTTGAGTTAAGATGCAATACAGAGGTAACAAGGAATGAGTGTACCGTACAGACAATCATATGAAGCTGGATAGTTTCTCAGGTAGGAGGGTAGCAGACACAGTTGAGCGGGGGGGGGGGGGGGGGGGATGGATTTCTGCTACATGGCATTTTCTTCTCTGATATCCATTTTTTGGGGCCAGATAGAACTATTAATTGAAGGTTTGTAAGGCCAAGACACCAGTGTTACCTGCTGGAAAAACTTTTAAGACAAAATCTCACCATAAAGCATTCGTGCAAATTTTGTCCAATCATATTTAAGAAATAAGCAGGATTTGAGCTTTGAAACAGATTTTTTTCATTTATCACATGGAACCACTTCTTTGTTTCACTTCAGGCAAGCAATATGAACAAGATACAAAGTGAAACCAAACTAAAAAACAATCTATCACTCATTGTGACTGCATTGGCCAAGAAATATAATCTATATGGCCTTGTTTTAGATGTTCTTATACCACGTCATTTAAAGAACAATGGTTCTCCTTTCCACCAACCCTGAGTAAAAGCATCTGAAAGATATGCTTTACAGTGTTCAGGAATGCAGACAAAGTACCTTTCTTCAAATGATTTTAGCCTCAGTGTGGCTGTTTGGAAGCTGCTTCTGGCTGTCTCTTTCAACTAGCAGTCAAGAAATAAACCACTGACTAGCACTTGGTAGAGAAAAGATATTCAGATGCCAGGATATGTCTATACCTACAAAGATCAGAATTCATGCAGGCAGTGGTTTTCCTTGTGACATTCTATGAGAGAGAAAGTTGGACTTTGAAGAAGCAGGATAGAAGAGTGTTGATGCTTCTGAACTTTGGTGTTGAAGAAGACATCTGAGAATACTATGGATAGCCAAGAAAACAGACAAATTGATCATCGTATAAATTAACCCAAAATTCTCATTCAAGGAATAAATAAACCAGGCTCAAATTATCATAACTTTGGGCACATTATGCGAAAACCTACCTCTGAAAAAGTCTATAATGCTGGGAAAGGTAGAAGGAAAGAGGAGACGAGAACAACCAGCAGCAAGGTGGATAGACTCAATTACAGGGGTGATAGATACATGGTTGGAAGACTTGAAGGATCAAGTTGGGGACAGATCATCCAGGAGAAAATCTATCAATGTGCTTGCTAAGAATCAACACCTAATGACACATAATCATAATCAATTTAAAAAAAGGTTCCCATTTCAATTTTAGAGAATTCATGTAATCCAGTTTCCTTCAGTTCTCAGAGCCCTGCAGGGATGATCTTACATAACATAAATGTCTCAGTCAAGACTATGGCTAAAATATGACAAAATCTGTTGCTGGTGGTGGGAATATAGTTTCTGAGTCAGGTGTAGCTCAGTGCACATTATTGCATCAACCTTGCTTATTTTCATTTTTATTTGTATTTCTTATGAAAATTAATACACAGCTGAAGACACAAAAAGGGAAAAATTAAACTGTCCCAAAGAAAGTAAAACAGGAAAAGGAATATCAAATTGCTAAAACAAAACAAAACAAACCACTGTTGAAATGAATTGGATCTTTTATGTTGTAGATTGTAGAGGGACCAAAGATTAAAGTTCTGTCATCTGTATGGTATGGATTCCAACAAGCTGCTCTGCAATTTGTATTTACAGGCAACAAAATTGCTTATAAGCTCATTCCTTGAAGTAACATTTACTATATACTCTTGCAAACACAATATGTCAAGTATTTGAAGGCTGCTTCTGCACCTGGAAAGTATATTGGTGATATTATATTTAAGAATCTTGGCCCCCAGCCCTTTCTTCTCAGACTTTGGCCTCAGACTTCACTATCATTTAGCCAAAGGCCTGTGCTTTATCTGTTGAATAGCCCTGTTTTTCAGCACTGTATTACAGAACCTTTTAATTCAGCAAACACAATTATCATATTCTGTGACATCAGAGCATCTTAGGAATGCAAAAGGTCTGAGTTAAGGTACCGAATTTACAGATGGTAATTCATACTTTCCTGATATTCAGTTCTGTGACAACTATATAATCAACTATAATGTAATATACAGCATACATGAATAGCAGACTCACCTACACCATACCCATTTACTATAGACAGGGCCTTAATCATTCAAATCAAGTAACACTTCTGTAATTTACAAAAGCTGTGTACATATGACATTCCAAGCTTCATAATAGTTCATATTAAGAAGCCCAGTGTTAAAACAGCACACTTGACACTATGTTAAAAAGCCTCTGCATGTGAAGTCAAATGCCATGTTAACATTTCATGGTGGTTGTGTTATAGCTCAAGAGATATATATTTCCATATAGCTATGGAAAGGCTGTTTTCTTTTTTAGTTTTGAAATCAATATTTTTTCTATTTCCAGAATCTCTTGTTATGCTGAATGATGTGCTGAGTCAAATAGAATCTCAGAATATCTCCCCAAGTCCTACGAGCCACAGTGTACCCACGTCCTCTGCAGGCATTGACCCTGTAAGTAATCTGTATATGCATGCTACTGTACTGGAAGACATTCAAGTTGCCTGAAACCTCGAGAAACTTCTTAGACGTGTGAATCAGAAGATGCAGTGTATAGTCTCAAAAGTTCAATTTTAAAATGTGAGCCAAAAGACAGAGGAACAAGAATATCTTTCTGCCATTCTTAACTCTTCTTTTCTGTAAAATAACATTTATAAGAACCATTGTATTGATTAGATGAGAGATGAATTGCTTTTGGTCTGGAAAATTTAGACTCCTAACTTTAATTTCTCTAAGCAGTAAGACAAAGTACAGTCTTTGCCAAAAATAAAAGTCCTTGTGATTTTGTACAGTAGGCTAATAATTCTAATATTGTGACTTTATATTCCATATAATATCCTGCAGCAATGCCTTTTAAACAGTTAAAGGATTGAGAAGACCTTTATTATCCTAGGGTTATTTGTACTTTATAGGCTGTCCAACTACATTTCATTTTGCAGAATATGATAATGAGGAAGATGGAGCTTGGTCATCTAGCAAATAGCAAAGTGGAACAGTGTTTGTTTAATCATACAAGAGTTGAGTTAAAGAAACCATGGTAGAATTATGGCTGAATCCCAACCTATCAGCTGCCTTTCATTTTGACAACAGGACTTTCCTCTTCTTTCCTCACTTCTGCAGACCCCACCTAGACTTCCACAATCAAATATCAAGATCACTTTCAGGAATCTTTGACCATTCTGTTTAATAAAGCCATTCTTTTGGCAAGTATGGTTAATTGGAGACTACCTATTTTGGTAAATATAGGTAGTTGAGAGAGACTGGGGGAGGAGAGGGGAGAACACCAGCTTTTTGTCAAAGACCAGATTCCTTTAGAGGTAATCTGGCAGGGGCCAGATGTTGGGTGAGAAGTGAGCCAGATACAAAACGGTATGGGAACACTAAGTTTCTATATCTTTCTGATACCATCTTCTACACATACTGTAGCTTTTAACAGAGATCTGAACTGATACCTTGCATAGAGATATTGTAATAAGGGAGAGGGATGCATTTGGCCCTGGGGCTACAATTAACCCATACAACTTTTTCCTTCAGCCTTCCTGATATTTTAATGCTTAGAATCAAAAAAATGCTTTGTTATGTTTGGAGAGATTGAAATCTTGATAGGATTCATTGGGACTATATTCCAGTTTATAAATGATTTTTATAGCTCACCCGTACCTTAATTTCCATCAGGAGTGTATGGCTCTCACACCGACTAGAATTATGGCAATGAGGGTTTGGCAACATCCATAGGGCTGCCCATAGTTTGTGTTGCCTTATATGTTAGTCAGTAAAACCTATTAGCCATAAAAATGCTCAGTCTGTAGTTATTTATATAAATAAACATAGATAACATTAAAATATGTAAAATCATTGTAGCATATTTGTTGCCTGAGAAATGTGAACCTTGTGTTTTCCGGTAAGCATACATGTACCTTCTTGAAACAACTAGAGGTCATTATCATCACCTGTGGCAAGTATTTATTTACAATTGTTAATAACATTAAACTCGTTGCACTAATGACAAATATTATTAGCTGAACATCTAAATCAACAAGTAACGTGTGCTCCTATTTAATACCCACAGGCAAAATGCGTTGGCCATAAGCTCCCTGGGTTTGTATATGAATATACTCATTTGCAGCCCATCTTGTATGCGCTTGGAGTGGGTATGTCCACCAAGGATCCAGACCACCTGAAATTCCTATTTGAAGGAAGTGAAGAGTTTTGCTGCCTTCCTACTTTTGCAGTGATACCAGCTCAATCTTCCATGTTTGAGGGTGGCATATCCAGTATTCCAGGACTCAGCATTGATGTAACAAGAGTAAGGATGCATTATAGCAACTGAATTTGTTTTACGTTACAACCTATTAGTAAATAGTATTCATTACCAGTACAAAGTGGGGAACTGGAAAGAGTTTTATATATATTCAAATTTAAAATGCTTTGGTTCAAATCTAAGCGCCAAATCCACAGCTTAGCTTCCCATTTTTTCCTTGGTGTTTTTTGTCCAAGGTAACATGTTCCATTGAAAGTTTGGAAGTTGGGTTTAGTCAATTCTGTAGGGTTGATCCCACCATGTAATACTTCCTCAATATCACAGTATTCTAACACCAATCACAAATAATGTTATTGGGATGAAAAAGAAAACAAATTATTTGAATATGTTTTGCTGGACATTTCATGTAGATGTTTTTCCAATACTTATTGGAAGCCAGGAGAAAGTACCAATGAGCTTCAGGTACATTACCCCTTAATTTCTACTTTCAGAAGTAAAAAAACCAAAGCAGGAGACATACTGGCAATATGATTTAAAAAAAAATACCCAAGTCATTAGAAGTTTAGTGAAAGGGAAAAAGGAAGTGAACTAAATGAAAACTACTTTTTAAATTGGAGACTTGGAAGAGATAAGGATATTTTGTATGTAATGGCATATTCACTTCCAGACACTGAAGATTTACAAGGCCATAAAATAGTAATGCCTCATTACTTTCATTACTTTTCAACAGATAAAAAAGTAATGCCTTTTGTTGGGAAAATCCTCAATGTGAACTTTAGTCCTGTGTTTTTTTCCTCACATTGCCAAATAAACTGATAATGTATTTAAGAATACAGTTTGGTATAGATTTCAGTGAGGTAGTTCTATATTCTGTGAAAAATCTTCTTTCTTCTTATAGATCTTACATGGTGAACAGTATTTGGAGCTGTACAAGCCACTTCCTACATCAGGTAAGACTTTTACATATCTAATTAGTTCCATTAAAAAATATATGGTATTCTCATAAATGTTCCGCACTATTTCTCTTCCTTTTTCAAGAATAATTACTGTTTTTCTCTAAGTTCTCTAAGTTTTTTTTGCCCTTAAAGGTAGATATTCTAATGTGCTATCATCCATCAAAGAGCAGAGCAAGTATTTAATATAATCTTCAGCTTGGTGTTTCCAGATTTGTTAAGGTTCAAATAATCTGTGCTACCTAGGAATGATGGAAGTTGAAACTCCAACACATCTGAGGGACAGCACTTTTTTTGTAGGATGAGTCAGTGATTTCTGCAGCTGGATGCTCCTTTTGCATTCAAATCAGGGGCATGCATGGAGGTCAAAAAAGTGCAGATGGTTACCCCAACTATCCTGTTGAAACCCTGCCCCTTTTTTATATGCATCACACACGCAGTGCACCTAAAAAAATGTTGGGGCTTCAAACACATGGTTGTAGCTGTCATCCTGACTGTTTTGAGCCCCTCAATGCCCTTGGTTCAAATAATGTTATGTTTGGTGCATATTCTGTGTTATATTAATAGTAATCATTGATACTCTGTGGAGATATGGAAAACATTTCTGTTCTTTCTGAGTACTTCTTTGTCATTTAATTTTCTTTTAAATTTTAGGAAAGCTAACTTCTGAAGCCGTGATTGCTGACATTCTTGATAAAGGCTCAGGAGCTCTTATACTCTTAGATGGTAATTCTCTTGGGTTCTGTGATAAATAAATGGCTGGAGGGGTCAGGGTGGAAACAGCCCTGAAAACTCATTGATGATAATATTTAACTGTGCCTGGAAGTCTCTCAGCAGAAGGTTTTATAAAATGAATTGGAAACTTACCCTGTCTTATGAGTAGCTTCAGTTTTGCCTGGGTTTTCCAAACTATTTCCATAGCATTCCATTTCCAAAATGTAATGTGGCACTTCCAGTTTTACAATGCTGGTAATAAGCTGGAAGAGCAGTTATTGCGGGCGGGGGAGGGGCAGGTTGAATATATCTTGAAAACTTACAATTATGGAGTCTCATTTTTTTAGATAGAAGGTATCTCGAAGCCTAGTTCCTCTTAACACCACAACACATTCTTATTGTTTTGATTTATAGCCATATTCATTTTTTTTTTAAAAATCATGTACTGTATTGTTTTAGAATACCTTTACAACTCCTTTCAGCTGTTCCTACCATAGATTATACAATTAAGTATGTTGCAATCTTAAAATGAACAGAAAAAACAAACCATACATTTCAACAGAGTGGGTAGGACAAAATCTGGACCTAGCTAACGTGAGCTGACTTAAGAGTCAGGCCAAAATAAAATAAAAACATTCAGAACCAAAATTGATACAGAATTGGCATCAGACAAAGTTGTATAGTCACCGGTAACTACTTTCCTGATCTCAGATGGGAAAGTGATAGAACTTTAGAAGATTATCATAACATATGGAAAGCCTCATGTTCCTGAAAGTCTTCCAGATGTGCTAGGATTTTCAGCTGTCTCAAACTATTAGCCCTGTAGAGCTTTAATTGTAGGTACAAAGCTTTGAGGTAAGGGCTGGAAATGAAAATATAATCGGAAATGAATGAGGCAAAATTAAATATACCATTTCCAGTTTGGTAGAGTCAATAAGTATGATCCTGGGAGTGTCAGAAAAACAAAGTGACTTTGCTTAAAAATCCAAATAAATTGAAGTCAAACCTAGAACGATTTGGTTGACCCCAGCCTAGTCCTTATTGTACTGGATATTGCCAGAACAGTCACCTCCTCCTTATCTTCCCTCTGGGCGCAGAGAAATAACCTTAGCCTATTCTTCTCCCCTCATGTACATAATGCATGATTATATACATGAGGGGCTCAATACTATAATAAACCAGCATCTGCTATACACATTACTTACGCCTACCAGTACTGTAAAACAAGAGTCAATCTTCCCCTTCTAGTGTTGTACAATTAGCTGTACCCAGTGTTAAGTTCATTCATAGCTCTAGTCATAATGATAAATTCCATATACTAGTGATATACCCTAGGAGAGCAAAAGCATCTCTAAGAATCATCAATCATTATAGTGTCATATTTATCAATTTCAAAACAAATATAACAATAATATAAGCCCAAAGCATGTGAATGTTTCAGTTTCCAGATTAAACCTTTAACAATGCTGGGCTAATACCCTCCCAATGACTTTAAGTTTCTACCCTTGAAAAGTGTATCTCACCCAAGCCATTCTGTTTTTTTAAAAACAAGGTGTGTTTAAAATTAAAAAGGCATCTTTCTTGGCTGTCTGTTCCTCTCTAGTATACACATACTCTGGGAAGGATCTTCTGTGCTATAATCAGTTCTCTATCTTTGTTGTTGGAGCTGGAGGTTTTGGTGGAAAGCGATCATCTGAGAAGGCCAAGGTAGTATGAGTTTTGTGTTAGGCTACTGAATTTCAAATATATTGCCAATTACTTAGCAGTCATAAAAGTAATTACTCCCTATGCTCAGTTCACTCACTTGAAAGTTTATTTTTTTCCATGAAGTTCCTTCTAGCTCATAATATGCTCCCTACCATCAGCCTCTCAAAACATATCTATTGTATTGTTTGTGCTAGTAGAGCTGATAGTAGGGGCATTGTAAGTAAAGCCAAGGTTGTTTCTAAACTACCTGGCAACATTTGCTATTCAGGGAGCATCTGAAATTACTGTTGGTGGTAGGCTTCACTGCTGTTGGTCAGGAGGCTGATCTTTGAACTAATGTTACTTTGGTGTTTTGACCTGTCCAACTTAAGCTTTTGCAGGGTACCTAATGACCAACTGATTGCCCTCTGGAGTCCATGTTCTCAGTATTACCTCAGTCAAATGTTCAGAACAAGATCTGTATCTGAGAAATTGTTCACTCCAGTTAAGTTTTAGAGGACACCCATTTGTGTAAAACTATCAAGCATCCAACGTTTGACTAAGAAAAGGAATGTGTTATTTCTGTGTCCATTTATTCATTCTTCTCCTTTAGGTTACAGTGAACACCCCCAACAGGCCACCAGATGTTGTAGCCACTGATGTCACTACAGCAGATCAGGTAAATGTTTTACTCTTTATATATAAAAATGATATGTATACATGTGTGTGTATATAACAGATACAAATGAATACAAACTAATATAGACTGAGAAAAAAAAAGGAAAAAATCAAAGAAAAAGCTAAAAGTGCAAGAAAAGGGGAAAAAGTAAAAGAAAAATAGAAAAAAAAAGAAAAAAGATACAAAGAAGTAGCTTCCAATGTTCTTTACAGCAGGTATAAGTACAAATATAAGATTACCTCTTACTCTATGTTTACAACATAACTCTCTTCTT